TATGTTTTGTTTTACATCAATGGGCTGAAAAATAAATTGCTCTGCCAATTTGCATGGCAAGGGCCTTACATATTTATACTTTCTGGTCAAAATTATCATCATATAGGAAGTTTACTTCCGGCAGAAGGGAGCCCACCTATTTATTCTCAACTCTACATATATGACACTGCCAACGACATGGCAAATAGAATTGTAGCTGTATTGGAAGTATCTTTTTCCTTAATGGTTCACTAGACATTAGACAACTACAAGAGCTATCATAATATACTCATTTCCCCTAAATAATAAAAATTCCATCTTTGTTGTAATGCAGGAGAAATGCAAGAAGTTCATATATAAATGTTGATATAGCAGAGCAAATTAAGAATTCTCTCAACAATCACAAAACATTAGTTAAGCATTATCAAATGGCTGCAGAATAGCCAGGCAGATGTAAGGACACGTCTCATCAGAAGTAATACAAGCAACCCAATGTATAATTTGCCCTCATCCTCTGAGATTGCTGCATTAATAGTAGGTGATTTTGATAGATCTTATTATAAAAGAGACATAATTTTCGAAAGGCGAGAAGGCCAGTTGTAGAGAATTGATGAACTTCACAGAGCTTATCTACCACTTCAGTACCCAATTATATTCCACTATGAAGATAATGGGTACAACCCTACAATAGCACATGCTGGATATTCCCTAGCAAGTACAAGAAAAAGAAAAACAGCTAACCATTAGAGAGTACCTTGCATTCAGACTAATGAGTAGAGATCTCAACATTGCTATATTCCAAAAGATTACTACAGCAATTTATTATTGACAGATATTCTATGACGAAGAGTGAGAGGTTACGATTCATCAGAAATCATCAAAATGAGTTGAGAGTAGACTTGCACAAGGGTCTTGCTAATGCAGTATTAAGGGGAGAAACAGATCCATCCTCAATAGGGAGGAGAATAATACTCCCATCATCATTTACTAGAGGTGCAAGGTACATGTACCAAAACTATCGAGATGCTATGGCATTATGTGCATGGGCTTGCTATCCAGACCTATTCCTCACTTTCACATGTAATCCAGCATGGCCAGAAATAAGGCGATATTGTGAGAAGAAAAAACTAAACCCATCAGACTGACCAGAAATATTAGCCAGAATTTTCCAGCTAAAATTTGAGGCGCTAATAAAGGTTCTGCGAAGCAGCAACATATTTGGAAAGATCAAAGCAGGTCCATAAATATTCAACAAATAAACAGCTATGTTTAAGGTTTCTCCAAATTTTAGATTCACCAACATGTACATTTACAAATAACATTGTACCCTTCCATGTTATGCAAAAATATACACCATTGAATTTCATAAGAGAGGATTGCCACACGCTCACATAATCCTATTTTTGCATCCTTCAGCCAAACCAAAAAGCCTAGAGGACATTGATAGAGTAATTTCGACAGAAACCCAGACAAGGACGGGGACCCAATCTTATACAACTTCGTCGCCAATTTAATGACACATGGTCCTTGTGGTAATTCGTTAATTAGATCTCCGTGTATGAAAAATGGCAAGTGTTCTAAGCATTTTCCCAAGAGATTCAAAGAAAGTACAATAATGGACGATGATGGGTATCCAACATATCGAAGAAAAAATGATGGAAGATCAATCAACAAGAAAGGGATTCCATTAGACAACAGATACATAATACCATACAACCCAATTTTGTTAAGAATGTTTCAAGCTCATATAAATATTGAAAAACTAATCCTTCAGGAAGTCACAGATCCCATCAAAGCAATTGTTGATGCTACATATCCAGATTTAATGGACAATATTTTTTACTCAAAATATCTTTCAAGCCGAGCAATTCTAGCGGCCAAGTGGAAATTGTTGAGACTTTTGAATGACTATGTTTTGTCCTAGGTACAGGGAGAAATGGTTGAGTATTACAGCTCAGATTCCATAAATAAAACAAAGAAAGAGGATGCTCCACAGCATGACATATAGACAACAGAATTTTTAAACACAATCACTTGCTCAGGCATTCCACTATACGTGTTAAGATTAAAGATTGGTGTACCGATAATGCTTCTAAGAAACATTGATCAGTCTGTAGGATTGTGTAATGGAACGAGACTACGAATTATATTGCTTGGGAGGCACTTCATAAAAGCAGTGGCATTAAATGGGACAATCAAGGATGAAGAAGTGCTCATTCACAGAATGGACCTTAACTCGTCGTAATCTAGGCTTTCGTTCTCAATGACTAAAAGACAATTCCCGGTAATGGTATCATTTGCAATGACAATTAACAAGAGCCAGGGGCAATCAATGGAAAGGGTGGGGCTCTATCTGCCGACACCAGTATTCTCACATGGACAACTATACGTGGCACAGTCAAGGGTGAAAAGCATTAACGGCTTGAAGATACTAGCACTAGACACAGAAAAGAAACCCACCAATTGAACCATAAATGTTGTCTATGATGAGGTTTTCCATAACATACTTTCGGCTTGATACCTGAGCACAAACCGTTGGAACTTCTAATGTACAGCATCTTCATAGATCGTATAATCCATGCAGCGCACGGGGTATGGTGTCTATTTTTTCGTAAATCAAGATAAACTCTTCTATATATTTATTTTGTATACCACGAAATTATAATGTAAACTTAATTTTAAAACCATTGTATGGTTTTTATCCAAACACCTCCTAAGTTATTATTCCCTTTAGTGAATATTATCAATGCCTAATAACAACTTTACATAGATTAATAAAATTAATTAAGATCAGTTATTTCTTGCAAAATATTAAAATTATTCTCAATAGAATTCATTAGCTAAAGAAGTTTGGTAATTTAGTTAAAATGAATATTATGTACAAAAAATTAATATTTTAGAGAAATTAAAGCATATGTCATATGATGAAACATGTTAAAAGTTGTTATTATAAAATTTGATCTTTTTTTTTAATATCATTATAGCATATAAACATATCTACATACGGTGAGGATCCAGATTGAGACTATATATAAGTTGATAATAGATTACATTTGAGAAACTTTGACTTACTAGGAAGCTGAAAATTTTAAATAGTTTTTTAATGAGTACTTAAAAAATTTTACAGAAAAAAACTTTTTGTTTGGTCACTCCACAAATATAAGATTATTCTATATGAAAAAAAGGAAGATTATCCTTCCTTGACTGCTAGTAGTCTATTGGGCTGAAATAGATGAACTACAACATTGGGTCAGGCTGATACTTGTTTTGGGTCTTATCTACGGCGCATTTATATTGGACATGAAACAAGGCAAAATGTACACAACCTTGTACCCGAAAAAAAAAAACTATTCTGCTTGTGCTATCAGAGTTGGTATATCAGAAGGAATTAGTTTCTATTTAGATTTTTATCAAAAGAGGTGTTCATATTTAGTGTCTAATAGTGCTTTGAACATGATTGCTTTTCAATCAAAAAAATACCTATGCTTAAAAAAAAAAAACTATGCTAGTATTCATTTTGCAGATTAATAAGAAATTCAGTATTATTGGCAAAAGCAAAATAAACTCGTTTCCATTGTGAGATAGGAAGTCATGTGAACTTCGTTTTTGTTTTCTTTTATGGAAGAAAAATTCTGAATTATCTTGATGATCACTAGGGCATTGTTTGGTATGAGGGAAATGGACGAAGGGGAGGGAAAGGAAAATTTTAATGAGCTCTATATAAAAAATTGAAAAGTGAGGTTTTGAAATTTTAATAGAGAGAAGAAGTAATGTAAAAGAGTAATAAAAATTAATTAAAATTTTGTAACCCCACTTTTTCAATTTTTTTAAATTAAGCTCATTAAAATTTTTCCTCCCCTATCCTCCGTTCATTTTTTTTTTATATTAGACGGACCCTAGGTTAGTCTCCCCACCTGATCACTATCATATTTATTTTCTTAAAAAAAAAAATAAAGGTATTTATCTCAACATTGTTAGATTACGATCTAATAATTAATATTTCTTAGTTGAGACTCCATTGAGGGATCACAGTCTATTGTTCTGAGGCTTAAAAAAATTAATTATGTATTTTCTTCGCATACGCACACACATCATAGTTTAAGCGCAGGCCAATCCCATTAAAGTTTCTAACCCTCTCATAACGTCATTTCGAACTCAAAAAGTTATTCGCAAATAAACATTCACTTCAAAGTCTTTTTAACATAAAAGACGTGGTAATGCATTTTCGCTGGTTTGAATTTTTTTCTTCTTCTGCTAATCCTTTTGTTGTCTTGTTGTTTTGTTAACAAGCTTTTTGATGCATCTTTATTAGTTTGGTTTTTCTTCTCCTCTCCATCTCATGATCTTGTTTTAATTTGTCTTCCTTTTTTTTTCACGGATGAAACTAAAACTAATATATTTCGAAACTTTTTAGGATTTGTTTATGATGTGTTCTAGCCCAACATGAATAAAGAAATAGGTATATTTTATCATTTTTTTAACTAAGAAAAACAATTATTGATTTTAAACTTATTATAAGATAAACAAATAGAAAAGATTAATGTGATCTCCCAAAATTAAATATGCCAAAATATCAAGCAAAAAGTGCAATAACTTAAGAAGGAAATATTTCAGTGAAAAAGCAAAAAAACAAAAGCAAAAAAGAAACAGGAAATCTGACATAACTACTATGCACGGTTTCTAACCCTTCTCTTCCTCTTCTTTGGTGGATCATGCACCAGACTTACAACCCATTGAGGTTTGCCCTGAACATGACAACCTGAAACAACATTGCTCCAAATGCTGCTCCACATACATATCCCAACACCACAGGTTTCCATCCAAATTCAAATCCAACTCCAGAACTTAGAAGTGGTTCTTGTCTTTGGTCATGGGTTATGCATGGAATCATGAGTTGAAAACCACACAACTCTTTGTTTCCTTTAAAAGAATCACTTGAGAAGGTCTCAAATTGTTGGCCCTAAGGAATGCAACCTTCAAGTTCATTCTTTGAAAGCTTCAAGGCTTCGAGAAAATTGATATTAGTCAACTCTAGGAATTCTTCCAGTGAAGTTATTTGATGACAAATCCAACCATTCCAAATTCCTCAAATTTCCTATTGAGACAGGAATTAGACCAGTGAGCCCATTATGTGAGAAATTGAGCCCCTTCAATGCATGAAACTCTTCAATAGTTTGAGGAATCTCTCCCTCAAACATTTTATTGGATAAATCAATACTTGTGAAAACAGTCAATATCTTTTGTCGATGAATTTCATATCCTTTAAAGGTCACCTCAATGGAGTCCTCATAAAACCCACCATCATAGCTATAATTTGCATAATTCAAGTATTGTAAGCCAATTTTTCCATCTAATCTTCTCATAGCTTTGAAAGATTTGAAGAATGATACAGGTAAAGGACCTTTCAAATTGTTGCTGGACAGGTCAAGTACTCTTAACATATGGAAGGCATGGCTTCTGCAGGGAATAAAACCTTGCAATTTATTGCCTCTAAGAACAAGTACTTGCAATTTTTCAAGAGCGTCTAGCCAATGGGGAAATCTATCTTCTATGTTGTTGTTGCCAAGATCCAAGACTCTTAGCCTGTGCAATTGACCAAAGATTGAGGCAATGACCCTTCTAGAACATTGCCATTCAGATTTAGGGTTCTCAAATTGTTCCCCACTTCAAATGATTCAGGTACAATGCCAGAGAAACTATTATTTTGTAAATCCAACACAAAAAGAGTAAGATTAGAGCTGACAATACAGTGTGGAATGGCACCTATGAAGTTATTATGGGACAAATTAAGAATATCAAAATTGCAAACAGAAGGAAGGAGCTCTCCTTAAAGGGACTTGGAACTGAAGTCAAGAAACTGCATGTAGTTCCATGACAAGTGGTGCCACAAAACATTTCCGGTGAGATAGTTTTGAGAGAAGCTCAAAATTGTAAGGTTTTGAAGCTAGAAAATTGACCTTGGAATTGGGCCATGCAAGTTACTGTTAGACACATCAAGCACTCATAGTGAATAAGCGGATATTTCACCAATATGACCAGTGAATTGGTTAGAAGAAATAATCAAATGACTCAAAGATGGTAGAGTAAAAAGTGAAGAAGGAATTTTTTTCATGGAAGCCATTGTTTGACAAACCTAGATCTTTGAGATGTCTAAGATTTGAAATTGAATATGGAAATTGACCAATAAAATTATTTGAAGACAAATCAAGAGTGAGGAGATTTTGAAGATTGGAAATTGATGATGAGATTTGACCAGAAAAATTATTGTTTGAGAGGTACAACATGTTGTGTATATGAGTGGGTGTATCAAAAGTAAAGTCCCACATTGCCTAAGAGAGAGGGAGCTCAAGTGTATAAATACTATCACACATTATTGGGGTAGTGAATGGGCTAGAGGAGAAGGAGGGTCTCACACACACAACAACAGCCCACCAGGAGGGAAACGCAATTGAAAACTGGTGATTCCCCCCTGCGCGCGAATTAGAATAGTACCGGGCACTTTTGCAAAATTAAATTATGAAATGGTATTAAGAGAGCCTATCAGAAAATCCTTGTTTTGACCATTTATTTTTGTAACAGCCGAAGATTACTGAACGTTGGGAGTTTTCAAACTGTGATTTATCCTCCATTAATCCTTAAACCGTTTTCCATGGATTAATGACTGGTAACGTCTGGAATTTATCTCTTAAATGTACCAACATTCATAACCGAAGGAATAACAGCATTTATGGCCATAATGTCTAAAAGTGAAATTTTATTACCGTAATCATGGTGCCCAACGTTCAAAAATCTGTGGCCTATATAAAGGAGGTCGAGGCAGAGTGTTCGGTGCACCGCTTGAGTTATCGAGCTCTCTCCCATCCTCTGCTCTTCTGCTGCCTTCTCCTCTTTTCTGTTTGCTGGGTTATTGTTGGTTTCTGCTGTTCTGTCACCTTGCTCTTACAGGAAGGGTTCGTTTAATCCTAGGGAGTGCCATATTCATATTTACTTACAGTGGCGGAATAACTCTTAAGGACCGTGTCTACCGGCACGACTCGAACCAGATTATTGATTGTTTCCAGTTTCCTCTACAATTTTAAGAGTTATAATGGAGTCCTATAATGATGCTGCTGCTAGAAATATTGATCCTGCCGTCAACATGGTTCATGCTCCTGTTTTCACTGCAGTGCCACTTCCCAAACCATTTCCGAATGTCTCCAAGATCAATGCGTTTGATGGAAAGCACTTCAGACGGTGGCAGGAACGTGTGTACACTCTCCTTGACATGCATGGAGTTGCTGCTGCTCTCACCCAAGCTGAGCCCCCTGCTGATGCTAGCCAAGCCCAGAAGAATGCTTGGGCAAATGCAAACAAGGTTTGCCAACATACACTCATTAACACTTTATCTAATGATTTGTTTGATGTCTACTATGTATATAAGGAGGCACATAAAATATAGGAGTCACTGATCGTGAAGTACACTGCTGAGGATGCTGGGAAGCAAAAGTTTGTGGTTGGAAACTTTTACAAATGGGAGATGGATGATGATAAGGATATAAAGCTTCAAATCAACGAATATCACAAGCTACTGGAGGAGCTCCGAGCTGAGAAGATAAACTTACCAGATGAGTTCGTGGCTGGGGTTCTGATCGAGAAGTTGCCAAACTCATGGAATGACTATAAGCAACAGCTGAAGCATAAGCAGAAGCAACTTTCACTGTCAGACCTTATCACACACATCATCATCAAGGACACAAACCGAAAGGCAATCCAGACAGCTAGAGGAAAGGAGTTGGCAACTAAGGCAAATTTGGTAGAAGCAAAGCCACATGACAAGAGGTATAACACTAAACCTAGAAATAAAAACTTGGATTACAAGCCCAATGATTCTAACCCCAAATTCAAGAAGAAAGGAGATTGCTTTGTGTACAGAAAGCTAGGTCACCACGCAGCTCAGTGCAAGAAAAGGCCTGGAAAAACCAACAACCGTAAAGGTAGAAATCCTCCTAAGCCAAATGTAAATTTGGTGAAAGGAGATGATGATGAGATCATTGCTGTTGTCTCACAAGCCCTTGTAATCTCCGATGTGAGGAAATGAGTGGTAGACTCAGGTGCTACCAGGCATATCTGTACGAATAAGGATATGTTCACCTCCTTTAAAGAAGGAGAAGACCATATTTACCTGCCTGATTCCCGAACCACGAAAGTTCTGGGAAAAGGAAAAGTTGTCCTGAAACTCACATCTGGAGAGACCTTAGTACTGAATGAAGTTTTGTACGTGCCTGATGTGAGAGCTAATCTGATTTCTATAGCTCTGTTAGGGAAAGCCGGGGTTAAGGTGTCATTCGAATCTGACAAGATTGTAATGACAAAGAATAATGTTCTTGTTGGGAAGGGCTATTGTAATCAAGGATTGTTTGTATTGAACATTACTGAAATGAATAAAAATGCTTCTTCTACTTACTTGCCTGTATTTCATATTGATTCTTTTGACATGTGGCATGCTAGATTAGGACACATAAGTAAATCTTATATAAAAAGGCTTTATCATTTAGGGCTAATATCAGGGATTAAAAATAATATTCTCAATAAATGTGAAGTGTGTGCGGAAACAAAACAAACTAAAAAATCACATTTTCCTACTCAAAGAGAAACCGAGTTGTTATCCTTAATACACACTGATATAGGTGATTTAAAACAAATTGAGACTCAAGGTGACAAAAGATATTATGTAACTTTTATCGATGATTTTTTTAAGGTATACAAAACTATATCTGTTAAGAAATAAAGATGAGGTTTTTGAAAAATTCCTCTCATATAAAGCTGAAGTAGAAAATCAATTAGATAGAAAAATTAAATGAGTTAGATCTAATAGAAGAGGAGAATGTTTACAATTAAATGACTTCTGTGAAAAAGAAAGAATTATTCACAAAGTAACTCCTCCGTATTCATCAGAGTCTAATAGCGTCGCGGAAAGAAAAAATAGAACATTAAAAGAAATGATGAATGCTTTACTGGTTAGTTCTGTGGCACCAGATAATCTTTGGGGGGAAGCCATTCTGTCTGCTTGTTTCTTGCAAAATAGAATACCCCATAAGAAAATAAATAAAACTCTTTATGAACTGTGGAAAGGCTTTGCACCTAGAGTGGGGGTGCCTTGCAAAAGTTTTATTACCTAACCCTAAGAAGAGGAAGATAGGTTTTAAAACTGCTGATTGTTTATTTATTGGGTATGCTCAACAAAGTACCGCTTATCATTTTATGGTTTTAAATAGTGACATTTTGGGTCAAAATACTATTATTGAAACTAAAGATGCAGAATTTTTTGAACATATTTTTCCTTTGAAAGCTGGGTGTATCCCTAGAGTTGTTGAAAATTCTTCTGAGCAAAACTCAAATGAAAATGTAGTAGAAAGTTTACAGAGAAGTAAAAGGCAAAGAAAGGAAACCTCTTTTGGAGATGATTTCTATACTATTTAGTACAAGATGAACCTAGAATTTTTTATGAAGCGACCTCTTCTCCGAACGCACCTTTTTGGAAAGAAGCAATTCAGGCTGAGATTGATTCTTTAAAACAAAACAAAACTTGGGTTTTAGTTGACTTGCCTCCAGGAGCAAAACCAATTGGTTGTAAATGGGTTTTTAGAAAAAATATTTTCCTGATGGTTCTATCGATAAATATAAAGCGAGGCTAGTAGCCAAAGGTTTTACACAAAAGGAAAACATTGATTACTTCGATACTTTTTCTCCAGTGACCAGAATTTCTTCTATAAGAATTCTCATTGCTTTGGCTTCAATTCATAAACTCTTTATTCATCAAATGGATGTTAAAACAGTTTTTCTAAATGGTGATTTAGAAGAAGAGATTTACATGGCACAACCTGAAGGCTGTATTGCTCCTGGGCAAGAAAACAAAGTCTGTAAACTTGTGAAATCTTTATATGGCCTAAAACAAGCGCCTAAACAATGGCATGAAAAATTAGATCAAGTCTTAACTAATAGTGGTTTCACTACTAATGAGGTAGAAAGGTGTGTATATACCAAACTTGTGAATAATGACTGTGTGATTATCTGCTTGTATGTGGATGACATGCTGATCTTTGGTACTTGACTAGATGTTGTGTTTGAAATTAAACGTTTCCTTGCTTCTAATTTTGATATGAAAGATTTGGGTGAAGCAAAAGTTATTTTGGGTGTTAAGATAATAAAAAATAAAAATGGCATTTTATTATCTCAAGAGCACTATGTGGAAAAAAATTCTTAGAAAATTTGGATGTGATGATAATCCGTTAAGTACTCCTTATAATTCTAGTGTGAATTTATTTAAAAATAAAGGGAAACCAGTTGTTCAATCTAAATATGCACAGATTATTGGGAGTCTATTGTATTTAGCGAACTTTACTAGGCCAGACATAGCATATGCTGTGTGTAGATTGAGTAGGTATACTCACTGCCCAAACAGTGAACATTGGGTGGCCTTGGTAAGAGTATTGAGATACTTGAAAGGAACCATAAGTTATGGTATTCTCTATAGTGGATTTCCCACTGTATTAGAAGGATACAGTGATGCTAACAGGATCTTAGATTCAGAGGAGACCAAATCCACTAGTGGTTATATATTCACTCTTGGCGGTGGTGCAATATCATGGAGGTCAGCTAAACAAACTATTCTAACTAAATCCTCGAGGGATTCAGAGTTAATTGCTATAGAATTGGCTGGTATAGAGGCTGAGTGGTTGAAAAACTTCTTAGCTAATATCCCATTAGGAGAAAAACCACCACCATCAATGTCTTTACATTGCGATAACCAAGCCGCAATAGCTACAGTGAAAAATAAAACCTTTAATGATAAAAGTAGACACATACGATTGAGACATAATATTCTAAGGCAACTGCTCAAAGATGGAGTAGTCTCAATCGATTTTGTGAGATCAGAAGTGAATCTCGCAGATCCTTTCACAAAACCCCTGGGGAAGAAACAGATTATCAAAACATCGAGGGAAATGGGACTCAAACCAACATGAAATTAACAACGACGGAAACCCAACCTTTGTGATTGGAGACCCCCTGAAGAAGGTTCCAATGGTAAAAACAAGTCATATGTTAGTTCTGCTAGCACTATTATAAACCCATAGTCCCTTCCTATGATGTGAGAAAGTCTTAGAATGCATTTAGTAAAGGTTGAGTGAAAACTCTTAATAATTTCATAATCCTACGAGATGGTGTGCTCATTGCATGTACACTTGATCAAATCACCTCTACGGATGTGGAGTGGGGCCGTTCCTATGAGATCATGGCAAAATCTATAGAGCATTCGTTAAGAACTGGGTACGCCACAGCCGTTATAATGCGCAAAACCGCCATTAACAATGGAAATTATAGGGGTATAATCTGACTCTTAATATCTCTGGTACACATCAAGAGTTGTTGGTTCATAGAAGCAAGCTTCACTGACATCTCTGTGTGCTAAGTATTATTGGTCTAGGTTTGGTTCATAGTCCGAAAGACACCAGACTCGAAATGGTTATATCCATGTGTAACTCAGCCATTAGTGTTCCCTTTTGACACATGGGGGGGATTGTTGTGTATATGAGTGGGTGTGTCAAAAGTAAAGTCCCATATTGCCCAAGAGAGATGAAGCTCAAGTGTATAAATACTATCACACATTATTGGGCTAATGAATGGGCTAGAGGAGGAGGGTCTCGCGCACATAACAGTAGCCCACCAGGAGGGAAACACAGTTGAAAACTGACGATTCCCCCCTGCGCGTGAATTAGAACAGTACCGGGCACTTTTTGTAAATCACTTTTGCAAAATTAAATTATGAAATGGTATTAAGAGAGCTTATCAGAAAATCCTTGTTTTGACCATTTATTTTTGTAACAGCCGAAGGTTACTGAACGTTGGGAGTTTTCAAACTGTGATTTATCCTCCATTAATCTTTAAACCATTTTCCATGGATTAATGACCGGTAACGTCTGGAATTTATCTCTTAAACGTACCAACGTTCATAACCGAAGGAATAAACAGTGTTTATGGCCGTAATGTCTGAAACTGAAATTTTATTACCGTAATCATGGTGCCCAATGTTCAAAAATATGTGACCTATATAAAGGAGGTTGAGGCAGAGTGTTCAGTGCACTGCTTGAGTTATTGAGCTCTCTCCCATCCTTTGCTCTTCTACTGCCTACTCCTCTTTTCTGTTTGCTGGGTTATTGTTGGTTTCTGCTATTCTGTTACCCTACTCTTACAAGAAGGGTTTGTTTAATCCTGGGGAGTGTCGCATTCATATTTACTTACGGTGGCGGAATAACTCTTAAGGACAGTGTCTACCGGCACGACTCGAACCAGATTGTTGATTGTTTCCAGTTTCCTCTACACAACAAAGAAAGTTGTGTAAGGTTCCATCAGGAGGGTGGAATTTCTCCAAAGAATTGGCATGATGAGAGAACCAAGAAATTTAATGATTTCATATGCCCAATAGAATGCGGCAACTTTCCTATGAAACTCGTGTTATGAAGATCCAAAGTACTAATAGAATTGCTCCAATTAGACTTTAAAAGATAGCCTGTGAGATCTGAGTTAGAATTTAAATCTATGATTTGAAGGTGGGGAAATGAAAATATATTTTCATCCAAATTTCCTTGTAATCCAACTTCAATAAGTTCAAGAAATACCAAAGATGAGGAAAGATTCTTAAATAGATGACCCGAAGGTATTGATGACATATCCACGTCATACAAATGAAGATCATTTATATGAGTGACATTTCTTTTGAGTCTCTCCCAAGTCTTTTCTTATTCAAATCCTCATTGATAAGAAGTGAAACCAATTTGTGAAGATGAGAAATTTGAGACGGAACTTCATTAGTAAAATTACAAGAAAGCAAGGATAGGTCTGTTAAACTAACAAGTTGGGAAAAATTAGATGGTATTTGAGACCCCTGAAAGTCATTTAAACCAAGATCAAGCCTTTGGAGATGGGTAAGCTGGAAGAGAGAACTGTTGGGAAGGAGTTTACCCTGGAGTCGAGCATAAAAAAGATCAAGGCCAATGACGTCACCCAATGGATTGCATGTGACCCTATCCCATAAGCAGCAATTCGTACCATTTTTCCAAGTTGATCTCTTGGGGTATGACATGATTTCATAACAAATCTCATCAGAAAGGAAAGAAGAAGGATGGGATTTTTGAATGGAAAATGAGTTTTTAAAGTCTAGCAAAGCTGAGCTTTTGTTCAGGACGACATGATGGGAAAGCAAAGGAATAATAAGAAGGAGAGAGAAAGAGAAACAGTTGGAGACAAAGCAAACTCAACAATAATGGTCACACAAAGACAACATGGGCATACACATGTTAATATCAACCCGCAAAACACAAAAAGGAAAAAAAAATTGCATCTTACCAATGATATTTTTCTAAAATATTAATCCCAACGATTCTTAATTAGGATTCTTCGAAACAGGCTTACCCAACAATCTAGATGATAACACCTATAAGAGAGAGGAGCAAAGACAAGAAGGCAAAGGGAAGCCGTAGCAGAAACCCCAGAGGCCTGCATTTACAGTTTTCAGAGCAGCACACGATGGACTTCTTCTTCTTCTTCCTTCGCCTTCTTCTCTGTGTTTAATGGCGGTTTCTTGCTTTGGAGAGGTCAAGGAGAATATAAACTACGATATTGACGGAGAGCACAAAATATATTGATCAAATAATTATGCGTATGAACATTAGAATTATTGGTGAGACACTGTACGCATAAAATAATAAGCTAGCAGCCTAATCCTGTGCCAAGAGCGAAGCTGGTCGATAGGAAACCAATCACAGAATCCCACGTTGTCCTCGTCTTTTGTTTCTCATTTATTATTTCAAAGGTTTTTGAAGTTGTAATCTTATATTGGGCCTTCGGATTCTGCTCAAGTCAAATACAAGGAAAAGGCTTGGGCCACGGAAGAACCGTCCGGTGGGAGAAATATATATTAAGTTATTATTCTCTTTAGTGAATATTATAAACGCTTTATAACAACTTTACATAGATTAATAAAATTAATCAAAATTAGTTATTTCTTGCAAAATATCAAAGTTATTCTCAATAATTTCATTAGCTAAAGAACTTTGGTAATTTAGTTAAAATTTTTGTAATTAGTTAGGACTATTATGCAGAAAAAAATTAATATTTTAGAGAAATTAAAGCGTATGTCATATGATGAAACATGCTGACGATTGTCATTATAAGAATTTGATTTTTTTTAAGATATAAACATATCTACATAGGGGGTAAAAGGATCCAGATTGAGAATATATATATCTACATAGGGGGTAAAAGGATCCAGATTGAGAATATATATAAGTTGATAATAGATTACATTTGAGAAGCTTTGACTTATTAGGAAGCTGAAAATTTTAAATAGTTTTCTTTTCAATTTAATTTTTAATTAAAAAATCCATTTTTAATGAGTAATTCAAAATTTTAAAGAAAAAAAACTTTTTTTTTGTCACTTCACACATATAAGATTATTCTATATGAAAAAAAAAGGAAGCTTATTCTTCCTTGACTGTTAGTAGTCTGCTGGCCGAAATAGATGAACAACAATATTGGGTCAGGCGAATACTTATTTTGGGTCTTGTCGAAGACGCATTTATATTGGGCATGAAACAATACAAAATGTATGCCACCTTGTACAGAAAAAAAGTATACTATTATCAGGAGTTAGGTATTCCAGAAGGAATTAGTTTATCATAATATAATAAATCAATATTTAATTTTTTATTAGAAGATGTGTTCATATTTAATGTCTGATAGTATTTGAGCAGGATTGTTTCCAGTAAAAAGATACCTATACCTACCCAAAAAAAAATTGCTAGTATTCGTTTCGCAGATTAATAAGAAATTCAGTATTATTAGCAAAGCCAAAATAAACTCGTTTCCACTGTGAGATAGGAAGTCATGAGAAGTTCGTTTTTGTTTTCTTTTATGGGGAAAAAAAAAGTTATGCTGAATTCAATTATCTTGATGATCGCTAGGTTAGTCTCCAGACCTCACTATCATATTTATTTTCTTAAAAAATAAAGATATTCATCTCAACATAATTAGATTACCATCTAATAATTAATACTACCTCCGATTCTTAATATAAGACCTTGTTTGACTTTTGTTTTGGTCCTAAATATAAGATCATATCTCTCATATTTATACTTTGTTTTTCCAAGATATTCCTTCTAACAATAATAGTTCTAGCCAATACACATAATTAGTAAAGATATTTTAGGAAAGATAACACATATTTATTAAAAATAACTAACTTAATTTTTTTCTTAATCTCCTCAAATTAGTCAACTAAATTTTGTAATTAGGACGGGAGGTAGTATTTCTTAATTGAGACTCCATTGAGGGATCACAATCTATTGTTCTGAGGCTTAAAAAAAATTAATTATGTATTTTCCTCGCACACGTGCACACATCATAATTTAAGCACGTACAGGCCAATTCCATCAAATTTTCTAACCTTCTCGTAACGTCATTTCCAACTCAAAAGGTTATCCGCAAATAAACATTCACTTCAAAGTCTTTTTAACAGTTTTGAATTTTTTTCTTCTTCTGCTAATCCTGTTATTGTCTTGTTGTTTTGTCAACAAGCTTTTTGGTGCGTCTTTATTATTTTGATTTTTCCTCTTCTCTCCCTCTCATGGTCTTTATTATTATTCATTGGTTGTAGATGAAACTAAAATTCATATATTTTGAAATTTTTTAAGATTTATTTGTTTATTACGTGTGCTCAGCCAAAATGAATAAAGAAATAGGTATATTTTATCATAATTTTTTTACTAAGAAAGACAATTACTGATTTTAAACTTATGATAAACAAAATAGAAAAAAGATTAATGTGATCTCCCAAAATTAAATATGCTAAAATATTAAGCAAAAACCAAAATAACTCAAGAAGGAAATATTTCAGTAAAAAAAAACAAACAAACAAAAGCAAGAAAGAAAGAGGAAATCTGACATCACTACTATGTACGGTTTCTAACCCTTCTCTTCCTCTTCTTTGGCGAATCATTCACTAGACTTACAACCCATTGCGGTTTGCCTGTGAACATCATAACCTGAAACAATATTGCTCCAAATGCTGCTCCACATACATATCCCAACACCACAGGTTTCCAACCAAATTCAAATCCATCTCCAGAACTTTGAAGTGGTTCTTGTCTTTCCTCGTGGGCATTGCATGGAAGCATGAGTTGAAAACCACGCAAGTCTTTGTTTCCATTAAAAGAATCACTTGAGAAGGTCTCAAATTGTTGGCCCCTAGGAATGCAACCTTCAAGTTCATTCTTTGAAAGGTTCAAGACTTCAAGAAAATTGAGATTAGTCAACTCAGTAGGAATTCTTCCCGTAAAGTTGTTTGATGACAAATCCAACCATTCCAAATTCCTCAAATTTCCTATTGAGATAGGAATTGCACCGGTGAGTCTATTATGTGAGAAATTGAGCCCCTTCAATGCATTGAACTCTCCAATAACTTGAGGAATCTCTCCCTCAAACATGTTATTGGACAAATCAATGCTTGTAAAAACTGTCAATATCTTTTGTAGATAAATTTCAAATCCTTTCAAGGTCACCTCAATGGAGTCCTCATAATCAAAGCCACCATAAAAGGTAGGTTTTTCATAATTCAAGTACTGCAAGCGAGTTTTTCCATCTAATCTTCTCATGCCTTTGAAAGATTTGAAGAATGATGCAGGTAAAGGACCTTTCAAATTGTTGCTGGACAGGTCAAGTACTCTTAACATATGGAAGGCATGGCTGCTACTGCCCTTAAAACTGGGGATAAAACCATGCAATTTATTCCCTCTAACAACAAGTACTTGCAATTTTTCAAGAGCGTCCAACCAATGGGGAAATACATCTTCTATGTTGTTGTTGCCAAGATCCAAGACTCTTAGCCTCATGCAATTGATCAAAGATCGAGGCAATGACCCTTCTAGAAAGTTGCCATTCAGATTTAGGGTTATTAAATTATTCCCCACTTCAAATGATTTAGGTACAATGCCAGAGAAACTATTATTTTGTATATCCAGCACAGAAAGAGTAAGGTTAGAGCTGACAATACAGTTTGGAATGGTGCCGGTGAAGTTATTGTGGGACAAGTTAAGAATATAAAGTTTGCTAGCATTGCAAATAGAAGGAAGGAGCTCTCCTTGAAGGGAGTTGGAACTTAAGTCAAGAACATGCATGTTTTCCCATGACAAGTTGTGCCACAACACATTTTCTGTAAGACAATTGTGCGAAAAGTTTAAGTATGTAAGGTTTTGAAGCTGAAAAATTGACCTTGGAATTGGGCCGTGCAACTTATTATTTGACAAATCTAGAATCACGAGATGTTTAAGATCTGAAATTGAATGTGGAAATTGACCACTAAAATTATTTGAAGACAATTGAAGGAAACTGAGATCTTGAAGATTAGAAAGTGATGATGAGATTTGACCAGAAAAATTATTGTTTGAGAGGCCCAAATGATCAAGTTGTGTAAGGTTCCAAAGGGATGGTGGAATTTCTCCAAAGAATTGGCAAGATGTGAGAAGCAAGGAATTTAATGATTTCATATGCCCAATGGAATGCGGCAACTTTCCTGTGAGACTCGTATGATCAAGATTCAAAGTACTAATGGAATTGCTCCAATTAGACTTTGGAAGATAGCCTGTGAGATCTGAGTTAGAACTCAAATCTATGATCTGAAGGTGGGGAAATGAAAATATATTTTCATCCAAATTTCCTTGTAATCCAGCTTCAGTAAGTTCAAGAAAGACCAAAGATGAGGAAAGATTCTTAAATAGATGACCCGAAGGTATTGATGACATGTCCACGCCATACAAATCAAGATCATTAATATGAGTGACATTTCTTTTGAGTCTCTCCCAAGTCTTTTCTTTAAGAATGAGATTATTCAAATCCTCATTGATAAGAAGTGAAACCAATTTGTGAAGATGAGAAATCTGAGACGGAACTTCACCACTAAAATTACAAAAAGTCAAGGATAGATGTGTTAAACTTACAAGTTGGGAAATATTAGGTGGTATTTGAGACCCCTGAAAGTCAATGAAATCAAGCTCGAGCTCTTGAAGATAGGTAAGCTGGAAGAGAGAACTGTTGGGAAGGAGTTTACCATGAAGTGGAGCACAAAAAAGATCAAGGCCAATGACATGACCCAATGGATTGCATGTGACGCCATTCCATAAGCAGCAATTCGTACCATTTCTCCATGTTGATAGGGGTACATCAAAACCAGCACAAATATCATCAGAAGTGAAAGAAAATAATGAGTTTTTAAAGTCTAGCAAAGCTGAGCTTTGTTTAGGATGACATGATGGGAAAGCAAAGGAATAATAAGAAAGAGAGAGAAAGAGAAACAGTTGCAGACAAAGAACGGAGCACAGTGATAGACTCCTCATTTGTGAGTGCTAATTCCTCTTTGCTTGCTGCAAGAACTGAAGAGGAATAGCTCTATTTATAAGCGAACAGAAAATGACAAGAAAAAACTAAAGGAAAAATCTTACATTTGTTCCTGTCCCTGCAAAAAATTTATAAAAAATGCCTTTTATTGGTTTGATTGTTTCTTCTCCTAGTTACTTTCAATATCTTGTTGTTTCGATTTTCTAATACAGATTAAAAAATTGTAATAATTATCTACAAAAAATAGCTCAAGGGAGAATGAGTACATTTGTATCTGTGCAAGCCAACTGAAGAGGAAAATGCTAAAACTGAAACTTAATTATCATTGAATTTTATGGCATAAAAATTATATATTCGACTTAAATAAATTACTAAACCATAGGGGCCAATCAACGCGAATTTTCCCATATCCTTCTAATCCCAAGAAGCATGTGAACCAAACATTAATTGACCCACACATTTATTATACACAAGAATTTGAGTTTGATTTTTCTTCCCCTTATCCCTTCCTTGTCCTTTAGCTTCGTTTATCCACGGAAAGACTTGCAAAGAGTATTGATGTATAGTTCACGAGTCTATTCACATATGTAGACTTGCAAAGTCATTATCCCAAAAAAAAAAAAAGGAACTTACTTTCTCTTCTCCTTATCCTTTCACTGTCAAGTAGTTGTTTTCAGAGTTTCCAATATTACCATACGCGTAGTTTGCCAAGAATTATTAAAGCATGCCATGTACATGCGGAATATTTTTTTTCCCTATAACTTAATATTACAAATTTGAGTATTTCAAATCACATCAATGTACAAGTATTGATTACATTTTAATATGTATTAACAACTTTGAAAGGGAAATTAACAAGTTGCAATTTCAACCTAGATAATAATTATTATGCGTTTCTTAGTCGAAATATATGTACGGGCTCTAAATTCTTTTGTGTCATCTTTATAGTAGCACTAGATGAATTATCATAATATGATTCATTTTTGTGCTAAAAATCCTGCCCTTAAGTAATTTTTTTGCCCGCAGATGCTAAAGTGCTTAATAAATATCACACATAGATTAAAACTAATTGGAATGGCGCATAATGATCTTTCCGTGAGATCAAACACTTATGATCATTGCCTTGCATATAAATCATTTTAATGTGTTGTTTGAAGTTAACGCAAATTTATAAAAGTAAGGTAAAATATAAATAAAGATTGAGGTTGAACTAAAAAAAATACATAATAAAAGACATAATAATTATTATTCAAGTTAAAATTGTGATTTGTTAATTTTATTCCAAATTTGTTAATAAAGTATTGCTAACATAATGGTCATAATTTTTGGCCAAAACCATCAACGGGATGGGATCAAATCCCACCTCCTTTTTTTTCCTTAAAAAATTCCCTCTCAATGAGAAAAAATCCCATCGGAAGCCACTTCACCGATGGCTCTGGCACCGGCAGGTCTCTGACAAGGGATTAGTTTTTTCTTTAATTTTTTTAATAAAGGACATCTTATAATTTTATCTTAATATCAAAATGACAATATATATCCCTCTTCTATTTGAGGATTATGAAGAACTATCTTTCAAATTAGGCCCTCATCTTTTCCCCTTTCTTTTTTTTTTTTTGGGAACAAATTGAAGACAGAGAGCTTGTTGTAGCACCACGATATCAATCCGGTACTGGATGGGGTCCACAGGATGGGGTCCAAAGAAAGACCTTTTCCTGTCCATCCGAGTCAGAATGACCCTTTTGTGGGGCAGTCTTATTTATAAAATAATCAACAAAAGCGGCTAGTGAACTGTTCACATGCAAAAGTTATTATACAAAAACGACTTGCCATGCTCCTTTTTTTTTTTTTTGTGGTTTATAAAAAACGGCTTCCTCATTAGCCTAAATTAGATGATAAATAGTCACTATCATGTATATCCATTCTACGTAGTTGCTTTCAAAGTTTTCAACAGTCTATACGCGTAGTTTACCCACACCTATGCCACTCATTTAATTGGCGAGATATTTTTCTATAACTGAATATTACAAATTTGAGTATTTATATGTAATTTAATAAATATCTTTAAAATGTTAAGAACTAGGAAAAAATACAAGCGCATTTTTAAAATATTTTTATTGGAAAATATAAAAATATATAAAATTATGTCATTTCGTAGTGGTTAAGAAAAAGAAAAAAAATGCTTAAAAGCTTAGGGCATTACAAGATGCATTAACTAACAAGAGTTGTCCAGTTAGTAAGGAGTTGGCTCATAAACCCACAAAGTCATGAGTTTGAATCCCGCTGCTCTGATATAAAGACTCTATTGGTGAGCAATCTATAAGTATTTTGTAAGTGCTGTTTTTTAACCTGGAAAGCATATCTGGCCCTAATGACCCCCAAGATCCAACTCACCTAAACTTTTTTATAGCAAAAAAAATTAATAATCATTGATACCAAAATCATACTAAATTCATTCAAATCTATAGTGACTAAGATATTAAAAATTGAATGAGAAAAAAAATAAGACATAGCAACATAATTATTTGATTCGGTTTCATCACTGATTCATACCATTCAATACCGGTTCAACTCCCGACAATTAATTGCCCAAATAAAACTGGTTTTCTGTTTAAATTGGCTGGTTCAGCATGATTTTTGTTTCTTGGTATATCTAGTAACTAACCAGTAACCACACCTCAAACAAAATGTTTTCTAATAAAAGACACCTATGTACACTAAAAAGAAAGAACTACTGAGCGTTTAGAACACCCCTTTTGTGGGGCGAGTATGTTTATAAATACTCACTCAAAGACTTTGACTGCCGTGCTTCTTTTTTTTTTTGTGTGGGTTATATCATCTAATTAGCCTAATTAGATAATAAATAGTCTCCATCATGTATATCCATTCTACGTAGTTGTCTTTCATAGTTTTCAACAGTCCATACGCGTAGTTTACCCGCACCTATGCCACGCATTTAATTTGCAAGATATTTTTCTCTACTTGAATTTACAAATTTGAGTATTTATAATAATTTAATAAATATCTTTAAAACGGTAAGAACTAGGGAAAATGACAAGCGCATTTTTAATTATTTTAATTTAAAAGATATAAAAAATATATAAAATTATGTCATTCATACCGGTAAGAAAAAGGAGAAAACATGTTTAAAAGCTCAGGGTATTGCAAGACGCATTAGAGGAACTTCCCCGGTGGTTCAAATGGGTATAAATGATCTGGCATTGAAAGAGGATGGCAATGGCATGCTTATCATCAGCAACACTAAATTAAAAAATTATTGTTTTTTTTTTGTATGATTATTGCTTATTCTACACATCTACTTATGTGACAAGGGATCCCAATTCAGGCCATATTATGAGTTTGATAAGAGATCAAGTTTTGAGAAGCTTTTTGACTTGTTGTAAAAAGCTAACTTTAAATAGTTTTCCTAGTAACTGTAGATTTAAATTCAAATAATCTATTTTTTTTAATGATGCTCTTATAAAAATTCAAAAAGTTGACTCGTTTTGTTGTGTCACTCCACCCATTACATGGTAAGATCATTCTGTCTCTTTCGGGGAATAAAATCGAAAGATTATTGCTCTCTTCGTTAACTGTTAATAATAATATTCATTTTGCAGATTGAGAAGAAAATGTCCCTAGGGGCCATTCAATAAAATAGGAACGATACACGTCATGAAGAAATTCACTAATTCAGTATTATTGGCAAAAGCAAAAAACTCATTTCCATTGAGATAGGGAATTATTGTGATTTTTGTTGTGTTTTTTCCCCCAAAAAAATATGGTGAATTATGTTGATGCTCGCCAGGGTTAGTCTCTACTCTCTGTACCTCAATATTTTGTGATCTTATCATTTGTTTTATAAGAAAATCTTAGAGAGTTGCTTAAGATTTGGATCCCTTCACTTGAGGCGATCTCAATTAATTCTCCATTAAAGGATATTAATTATTAGGTTGTCATATAATGGTGACTTATTTAAAAATAAATAATAAAGAAAATTATCTCAAAACAGTTGGGTCACTCACAATTGAATGGCTAATATTTTTAATTGATTCTCGATTGTGAAAGTTGAACTGAAGGGATCCAAATTCGTTGTCTAGAGGTTCATCAAAGTCAGCCCAAAATCATTGCTATTTGTGGAGAGTGATGTCTTGAGTTAGGAGAGAGAATCAATACTTGTGGGCTTGCGGAGGACGATGAGGATTGTGGCCATGCAGGAGATCATCAGCATATTGAACCGAGAATGGGATATCCATGTATTGTGGTGTGCTAGAGAAGGAAATGCTTGTCGCAGATACTCATCGCTAAAGAGGCTCTTTCAGTTTCACGTGGCTTCTTTTATTTTTCCACTCCTCCTCCATGTGTCACAGACACGCTGAGGAAGGATGTGCTCTGTATGGGCTAATTTAGC